AAGGCTCAGAGAGGGTCAGGGATGCACTCAGTGTCACACAGACAGCTTGTGGCAGTGTGGAGACCAGCACCCAGGCTTCCACTGTGTTGGGTGGACTCTGGGTAAGGCATAGGGTCTGGGCAGGGCTGCAGGGTGGGCCAGGCCCTCTCACCATCCTTTCGGTAGAAGCAGATCTCAGCCCGATGCTCCTGATGGCCCTCCAGGGCCTTATGCAGCCTCTGCAGGGCTGGCTCACTGGTCTCTGGACCATAGAGGAAACGGCAGCTGCAGGTTTTCTGCATGACCTCGGTGCGGCCGTAGCCTGTGAGCTCGCAGAAGCCGTCAGAGCAGTAGACTATGGGAAAGCCCCGTGGGCCCTGTGCGTTGGCCAGCAGGAAGTTGCTGTCTGTGGAAAGAAGAGGTAAAGGTCAGGTCAAGGCCAGGAGGAGAGCTCAGCCTCCAGGTGGGCAGTACCTCCCACGAGCTGTGGTCAGAGATCACAGAGACAGAAGCTTCCGAGGCTTCCACGTGATTCCTGGATCTCCCTTTTGGATATTCTGAAATGAGAGTAAGAAGAGATAGGCAAAAGGACAAGGACTTAAGGGTGGCCTGGAACTGGGACAGGGACTACTAGGAGCTTGGAGAAGGAATCCCAAGAGGTCGTGCTGTCTGTTCCCCTGCCTTCAAGCTAGTAGGAGGCAGCCTGGCATAGTGAGTAAGGGCATGGGCTCTAGCACCCCACCTCTGCCACTTACTTACTCTGTAACCTTGGGCAAGTTAATGAACTCGTCTGTGCCTCAGCTTCCTTATCTGCAAAGTGGGGGATAATGTATCTTTCTCACATGGTTGTTGTGAGGGTTACATGGGTTACCTGGGGAGAACAAGTCCTGGCACATAGCAAGTGCTACACTGAAAAAGAGAAATGATTCCCCTACATGAGCACAGCTTTCAAAGCACATCATAGCTGTTGTCCTGTCGTCCTATTAGAGAGTGGACAGGGCAGAGGTTCCAGTGATATCACACCCATTTTACTGATAGGAAACCAAAAGGCAGTGATTATCCAAACTCACAAATCTCCTTTGTTGGGGGAGGGAGACAGTGATGAGTAGCGTCCTCATTCCCTGCCTTCCAGGAAAGGTCTTCTTTTCAGCATTCCTTCAGCTAGTTTCAGGGGGTCTGTCCCCAGGACTCAAAGTCTAACAAGGTTGGGCAATGAAGTTGTGGCTCCAGTAACCCCAGCAGCAGAACCCAAGCTGGCTGTCTCCTGGGTAGGAGGCCACAGGGGGGCTCTGTGGGCCATCAGGGACAGAGTCTCAGCTGAGGGTAGGGCCCTGAGACACAACTAGTCCCTGGAAGCTAGGAGAGGTGAGTGTCTGGGGGTGCGGCAGCTGATGGGGACACCAAGGGTGCCTGAGAGGCGCTGGGCCCTGGGCAGCAGCCTCGTTCTTCCATCCCAGGGCCTGTTGCCCCGGTGATGGGCGCTATGGAAACAAGGGAGGTGTGGGGGGAAGGCGGGTAGGGCCCCGGGAGCTCGGTTTCCGCCCTCGGGTACCGCTCCCCCCACCTTCCAGATTCAGGGCACTGGCCCGAAGAGGGCAGGAGGAGATCTCTCGGCTCCAAAGTAGGAAAGGGAATGGCGAGAGAAGAGGCAGGGAAGGAGGAATGTGGCTGTCCAAGGTGCTGAACCTGGAACCCAAGCTAGGGTGGGCGAGCAAGGAGTTCCCTCCGTCACAAGGACCACCCCACTCCTCCTGCCTCACCTCTCTCTGACGTGGACGGGCCACGATTTGGGCTACGTGACCTTAAATTCAAGCTAGGTCCTGCCGAAGTCTGATCTTTTCTTTCTCTTTTTTTTTCCGGGGGAAGGAGATGCTGGAGCCGTCTGGGAGTAGACCCCGGAGCGCCTGAGCCACTTACTCCCACCTCCGCGTCTCCGGAGACCCCCATACACGCCCCCAGCAGAGCTCTGTCTGGGAGTGGGCGGCTCCCAAGGCCTCTCCTCCGTTTTGCCGCACAAAGAGCCTTTCCTGCCTCCAGTCACACCCCCAACGTCAGTCCCCCGCACTCTTGGCCCTCTCCCCTCCTCCCCTCGCAGGGCGCTCCCAGTCCTGTGCCTTTACTGCAGCTTTGGGAGTTCCTAGCCCCTCAACTCCACTCTCTCTTCGCCTTAGGGTCTCACCACATGCAGAAGACCCGCGCCGGCGCCGAAGGAGACTTGGCCTCCAGTTCGGACCCCCAGTCCCAGCCTCCGCCCCACTCACGCGTGCCGTCGAAGCGGGTGGCGATGGTGTCCAGGAAGGTGTTTTGCGGGGCCAGCAACCCCTTCATGACCGGCATGGCCTCGGGGCTCGGGTTCGAGGCGTAGCGCCGGGGGCGTTCAGCGCGGCCAGGCCGGAGGAGGCGCGCTGCCGGCGGGGCCGGAGCGCCCCATGCGCCCGCCTGCCTCCTCCCCTCCTTCTCGGCGCCGCTGCCGCCGCCTCTCTGCTCCGAACCCCGCAGCTCTCGGCTCGGCTCGGCGCCGCCTCGGTCCCCCCCACCTCCCCACGGGCAGGGTTCTTTCCCCCGGGCTCGGCCCGCGCCCACCACGTGGCCCCGCACGGGAGGGGCAGCCAGCGACACCCTCACGCTTCTCCGCTGCCCTCCTCCGGGAGGGGAGCGGCCCACGCGTGTCTCTCCGGGAGAGAATTCGGGACACGCCCACCCGGAGCCGAGGCCTGAAGAGGTGGGGCGGGGCTTGAATGAGAGACACGCCCTCCTTCCAGGATGGCCACGCCCCCACGCGTGGTTCCCTGGCAGCTCCCGGTGGCTCCTCCCCGCGGGTTTCCCCGCGCGCCGCCTACGCTGGGAATGGTGTCGGGTTCACAGTGCCGCCTGCTGGAGTTCGGATATTCCGCAGCAACCCCGCTCTCTGTGCTCCGGTATGAGACAGCAAGGGTTAAAGAGGCTAGTTTTGCCAATGCGGGGATCTACGGGAAGACTAGGAACTCAATTTCCAGAAGGCACTCCTTCACCCTCGCCTGTGCCTCAGTTTGTGTAGGGCGCACTGGCGAACTCTGCCTCTGAGTACCGCAGGGTGTATGGAAAGAGCTTCGGAGTCCACCAGGTAGAATTCCAGCTCTGTCACTTGCTAATTGTGTGTCTTAGCCTCTCTGAGCCTCACTTTCCTCAACTGTAAAACAATTTGTACCCTCATGCGTTTGTGAGAATTTAATAGCACAATACATACCGTTGGCACACAAGTGCGTCGGATGGCATTTGTCTCCCCCAGTCTCCCCCTTCTTACCGTCTGGATTGAACTCTCCTTCTCTCTGCTGCCATTCAAGTGGAAGAGAGGCTGGAGGCAAGTTTGGCACCAAGAAAGATAGTTTAAAGGTGGGCAGGGTCAGTTTGCCAGTCTCCAAAGTGGACTTTGATCTCCATCTTCTCCAAGACAGAACCAGTACAGCAGCAAGAAGAACCCAGGGGAGACCAGACATAGGACGTTTTCATTACGGAAGCAGAATATTACTGGGGCTGCTCACTGTGGCGGCTTAGGGTGGCTGCTTCCTGGAACAAAACAGCTGAAGGCAGTGAGATGGGCTGGGGAGAAGGCAGGCTGGTGCTCCTCACCCTCTCTCCCCATGTCCGAGCCCGACATTGTCTGTGATGTTAGATTGTGTAAAAGTGCCACATTTTTCTCTGCCTCTACTTTTGGGTGTTATATTAGTTTCCTAAGGCTGCTGTAACAAGGTAGCACAAACTGGACGGCTTCAACAACAGAAATTTGTCGTCTCAGTTCTGGAGACTGGAAATCTAAGATCAAGATGATGGCGGGCAGGTCGGCCGGCCCGGTGGCGCAGAGGTTAAGTTTGCACATTTCGCTTCTCGGCGGCCGCGGGGTTCACCGGTTCGAATCTCCCGGGGGCGGACATGGCACGGCTTGGCACACCATGCCGTGGTAGGCGTCCCACATAGAAAGCAGAGGAAGATGGGCACGGCCAGACTTCCTCAGGAAAAAGGAGGAAGACTGGCAGTAGTTAGTTCAGGGATAATCTCTGGCCCCCGCCCCTGCCCCCGAAAAAAGATGACGGCAGGCTGGGTGGGTTCCTCCTGAAGGCTGTGAGGGAGAATCTGTTCCATGCCTTTCCCAGCTTCTGGTGGGTTGCTGGTAATCTTTGGGGTTCCTTGGCTTATAGATGCGTCTCCCTACCTCTGCCTTCATGTTCCCATGGGTTCTCCCTGTGTGTGTTTTTGTGTCCAAATTCCCCCTTTTTATAAGGACACTAGTCATACTGGATTAGAGGCCCACCCTACTCCAGTATGACCTCATCTTAACTAACTATATCTGCAACGACCCTATTTCCAAATAAGGTCACATTCTGAGGTGCTGGGGGTTAGGACTTCAACATATGAATTGGGGGCAGGGGTGGCACAATTCAACCAGTAACAGATGTGTTAGGCTAAAGTTGCAGGAACATTTTTCCCCATCCCTGCTTAAGAACTTCTCATGACTCCCAGCTACCTGCAGAATAAAGTGCAAAGCCTGGTGGTTTGTGAGGGCTTCCTCAATCCGGGGTGCAGGAACCTAACCGTCTCGCCTCCGACGCCTCACCGCTCCCCACCTGCAGCCACTCTAGACGATTCATGTTGAAACTCATATTCCCTGCCTTTTCGGCAGGCTTGGCTCCTACTTCTTCTCAGCCAGATTCTGCTCCTCTGTGTGCTTTCCTTGCTCTCCCTCCCCTCCTGTGTCTCTCCGTAAAGACCCTGATCCCGAACGACTAGTAGAGTATCGGAGGACATGTCTGTCCTGCATCCTCCCCTCCAAGCATGCACACGTGCGGTTCTCTCCGCACCCCAGAGCCTTGCACGGTTCCTTGCTCTGGGAGCTCCCTATCCAAGAGTGTCTCGGGTTCAACGACGCCCAAGCTGAGATGTCCTAGAGCCGGGCTGCTAGACCCTCCGGCTTTTTATAGTTCGCAAGACTCTCACGCCCTCTGGAGGGCAGGACGCAACCGCACAGGAACCGAGACCAGCCACGCTAACGGAGACTCGTCTTTATTGCCCTTTTTCTGGGGCTGACAACGAACGGGCAGAAGGGAGAGGGCAGGACAGGGCCCGAGCAAGGGCTTAGACCCCGGACCGCCCCTCAGGCGAGACAGACGAGGTGGCCGAGGCGGGACAACGGCGCCCGGGGCAGGGTCGCGGCGCTGGCTCTACGCCTGCGCGGCGGCCCATGGTCAGGATGCCGGCCGCGTGGTTGCCGCTGGCCTGCAGGAGGCGCTGCAGCCGGCCGTGGAGGCCCGGGGGCCCCGGCCGCCGCTTGCCCAGCGTGAGGATGCCGGCCGCGTGATTGCCCGCGCCGTGCAGCAGCTCGTAGAGGCGGCAGGAGCACGTCTTCTGGCGGCAGCAGTCGGGCAGGGGCTGCGCGGCCGCCCCGGGTGACAGCAGCGCGGGCGGCAGCAACAGCAGCAGCAGGAGCGTTATGGCGGCCCAGGGCACCTGGAGAGGGGGAGACAGGGCTCTGGGGTCTTCCTGTCGCGCCCGCATCCAGCCCCTACGCCCAGACCCTGCCCCGCTGGCTCCGCGCTCCTCCCTCGCTGTCCCTTAGTTTTTGCTGCCTCTGCCCAGTGCTGTTTGAAGGGCTCCTGTCTGTCTCTTTTACCTGCTCATCCTTCAAGACCCAGCACAGCATCTCCTCCAGGAAGCCCTTTGAGGCCCCCCCTGGGCGAAATGAATCCCTCTCTCCTCTGGGTACCCTTAGACCATTGTACCTCATTAGCGCGCTTACCACTCCACCCGAAAACAGGCTTGTGTGAGTCTGTCTGCGCCGCCAGTCTGTACCCTCAGGAGAACAGAGGCCCTGGTTCGTCCCCTCCCCACAGCGGGCAAACACGTGCAAACCAAGGACTGGCAGGATCCCAGCTGTCATCTTGTCTGCCTGCTCCCTTTCGGGGGAAACCGAACTCTGGCTTTGGACCAGTTTCCTACCCTCTCAGGGGGCACAGCTTTCTCACCTTTAAACTGGGTATTAGATAATCCCTACTGTGCAAGCCTGCTGGGAGGATTAAACGAGAGGACAGGTGGAAACTCGGCACCTGATACCAGTAAGTTCGCAAAAAATGCAAGATGGTAGGAGAACTGGACATAATCCAATGTTAGCCAAGGCAGAGTCTCCATCAAAGGTCCACCCGTCCCCTGCCTCAGAGCCATGCCGGAAAAGACCAAGAGCAGAGACACCTTCAGCCTTTCTTCCAGCCCCCTGAGCTAGCACTCTCATTACCCCCTGGTATGATGAGTCAGCCCTCCATCCCTGGGTCTTTACCTTCGTAGAGGGAGGGTTCATGGCTTCTGGAGCTCAGAGTAGGGAGCTGGGAAAGGTATTGTCTGCAGTGGTCCAAATACCCAGGAACTTTGAGGCCGTCGACTGCGACCTGCTACCAGGGGTCTGGGGTTTATAGTGCTCTGAGGTGGTGGGGGAGAGACGGACACTTGCGTCCACTCTGGGGCCAGACAAAGGCAGGTCTAAGATTAGCCTCCCACAGGGGGGCCGTCTCCAGGCTGGGCCCAAGGAATGGCCGCCAAGGCACTCAGAGGCCGGAGTTGGATCTCTGTGCCCCTGGTCCCCGCCTTGTCTGTCTGCCTGCTCCCTGGAGATTGGGCGGTCTCCGGGCACTAATGAGGCCACCTTGCACCCAGGAATCTGGGAGCACAAAAGAGGCCTTGGCGGGGGCACTGGCCTGGGACAATGCATGGGGGGCAGCTGCTAATTAGGGGCAGGAGAGGAGGCAGTCATGAGACCTGCTCTCCACAGGGTGTGTGTGTGGAGGGGGAGGGTGGCCAGGCAACAGGCCTCTCCCCCACTGCTCCTTGTCCCTGCCCCCGGGTCTGTCAGCCTTCAGGGCTTTCTTTCTTAATGGAAAAGCTTCTTAGCTGGCTCTCCATTCTCCTCAGCTCTCTCCTTCCCTCCGCCCCTTCCACCAACCTCCAAGATGGAAAATCTTGAAAACTGAACATGGGCAGTGGAAGGAAAGCAGCTGAACTTGGTGTTATCCTCTGACCTCCCAGCTTCCTCCCTGGTCAGGCTGCCTGGAGGGGAGGGATGGAGTCCCAGCCCACACCAGCAGGGAGTGAGCCACCCTGGGGTGAAGGAAACGTGCCATCTCTAGGCCTGCATCCCTCTCAGTCAGGGCACTGTCTATTGAGCACCTGCTCTGTGCCAGGCCCTGCACTGGGCACTGCAGTGACAGTGTCATGGGACATGGCCCAGTGTTCAAGGAGCCCTACAGTCCAGGTGGGGAGGTGACCCAGCAGAACGATAGCTCACTGGGAGAAAGGATTCTGAAAAGGTCTTGCATGAAAAGTGGATTTCCATCAGGTAAGGCGGAAGAAGGCACTCCACAGAAGGGACAACTTGAGCAAAGACCTGGAGGTGACAGTGCTGAGCTCACGTGGGATAGCGGGGTGTGGTCTTCATAGTCACGGCTCCCCTCAGGTCCAGGAGAGAGGTGGCTGGAGAGGTAAGTGAGAGCCAGGGTGGGTCAAAGGGTCTTATAGGCTAAGCTGGTCCATCTTGGTCCTGTGGGCACTGAGGAGCCGTGGGAGGATTTCAGCAGGAAGGACTCGTGGGCTGCTGTGGGGGCTGGGTGGGTGGGGGCGGGAGCCTGGATGTGGGGCATGGAATCAGAAGAAATTCAGAGGCAGAATCGGAGACTTAGCAACTCATCGGGAACAGGTGCCATGCTACTTAGGCGGAGCTGCAGGGCCGTGGGCAAGCCTCACAGCCTCCCGAAGCTGCACTTTCCTCACTGGTAAGATGGAGAGTTAACCCTGATGGTCTGTGGGATTGCTTCCTGCTGTGATGCTTTATGATCTGCAGTACAGTCCTGCCCATGGAAGTGATTCGTGGGTGTTGGGCCAGGAAAGGGACCCGTGCTAGGCCAGGGCAAGGGAAGTTGGGAGCAGCCTCTCCACATTTAGGTTAAGTTTGGGATGGGGAGAGGTAGGAGGAGGGGACTCTATGTCTCTGGGTTGACGTAGGCAACGATAGGGGTCCCCGAGGGCCCAGAATGGAGCTTTGGGGGAAAGCCCTGATGTCTAGAGCTGGAGGGGAGGGGGAGCCCAGGATATGACAGGAGCAGAGTGAATGGGACCACTACAGTTTCCCCCAAAGCAGACCCTGAGGCAAGAATATGGGTGCAAGAGATTTATTTAGGAGGTCATCCTAGAAGGCACATAAGGGAGTGGGGACAGGAGGGAGGGGAGGAAAACCAGTAAAAACTGTATTAATGACAGGATTACTGCTGTGGGCAACTGGTGGGCATCCTCCAAGAGACGGTGCAGAACGCACTTCAGAACTGCGCCACTGAGGGACAATGAAACTGAGGTCCACATTCACCAACTCCTGTTCCTTGCTGACTGAGGGCTGCTTCTGGGAGCATTAACTCCCAATGCTTCCAGCCTGCCCAGTGCACTGGGCTGAGACACGGGAGCCCATAGTGTGTCCTGGAACTCCAGTATCCTCCGGGGCGGGGGCTGAAAGGGCTCCAGGCAGGCAGTGCTGGCATCTTCTGTAGCCCTGGAGTCAACTCCTCAGAAGTGGCCAACTAGGTCGGACCTCCCTAAAGCCCAGCAGCTCTGATGGGGAACTGTCAGGTGACACAGAGTCAGACCCTGGCCACAGGCTCCCCATCCAGAGAGGCCCCAGGGGAGAGAGTGAGGCAGCCTCTGGGGGTGGATGGGGCACTGGGCAGGCCTCGGCTCAGGACACCACCCTCTTCTGTAAGAGCTGGGCCAGGTGCCGGTGCCTGAGGACCCGGGGCATCTCAGGAGGGAACGGGGAGGAGGGGCAGCCAGCAAGGGCTGCTCGAAGGGCTCTGAAGGCCCCCTGCCCCACCAGGTGGACTCTGGCAGGGCCCACGCTGCCCCGGAACCGCAGGGACTTGTAGTGGGGAGAGGCTTCCTGAAGGCAGCGGTCAAGCTGGAAAGAGAAGAGCCTGAGTGAGGCTGGCGTGGGGCTGCATGGTGGGTGATGAGGTGCGCACGACTGCCCAGGCTATGTGTGGGTGGGAGTTCCGTGCATACACATGTGTCTGTGGGACTCATCCCTCCCTTCCCAGAGCTCCAGGAAGGTTCTCCTCCCTGCCCCGTCCTCCCCACCCCTCCCCTGTGCCCCCAGCACCTGGGGACAAGCAGAGTAAAGGGGACATGCGGTCATATCCTGTCCCTGTGCCATTTACCTTGTCTCGATTTTCCTCTGACAGGTTCCTCAGTCCCCTCAGCTCCACAAACACCTCGTAGTGAGGAGCGGAGCCCTTGGAGGAATCTGCAGACAAACCCCATGCACACACACTTTTGTGCACAGGGAGACTTCCAAAGTCAATGCCCGCTGTCCCCACCTGTGCTTCCCCGCTCTGAAGGTTCATGGGGAAAAAGGAGTTTCTTGGTGGGAGTGGGGTAAATGGAGATGGAACCCAGAGCCTAATTCTAAATATGAAACAGGTCAGGAAAGGCAATGTCGAGACTGCAGCAGGAGGGATAGGGTTAGACATGGGGAAGGACTTTTGTTAGGAGCAGCAAAGGAGGCTGAGTCTTACCTCCTTCCTAGAGGTCTCCCAGCAGGATGGGTATGGACTGGTAGGCAGCCTACCCAAGAACTGGAGGCAGGAGCCGATGGAGATGCTTACCCAGAATGCTGTTCTCCACACAGCCATGGTCCAACAGCTTGGCCCCTGGCCACTGCCCCACTGCCCGGCCCAAGGCCTCAGAGAACATGTCCTCACCGATGTCTTCTCCTCGCACACTCAGCGTCTGGCCCAGCCTGGGGAGGAGAAGGGGGAAAGCAGAAGAGCCCAGGGTATAAGGATGGCCCCTCAGTGACCGGGAGGCGGGGGTCACCTACCTGTAGATGAACCTGACGACTGGACACTGATTGTGGGTACCAACCACCCGTACCACATCACCCAGGCGGCACCTGTCGGGGTGGGAGTAGGGGTGAGGTCCCATTAGCTGATGCTCCTGGCCCTCAACAGGATCCCGAAGGGCCTGAGGTGGCTGGGGCTGGGGGGCAGGCGATTACCTGGAAAGGCTGGTGTGATCAGTCAGCACCAGCTCGTACTCCTTGCCCTCCTGGGCCTCAGCCAGCAGGACCGTGGAGGCAGCCTCTTCCTGAGCTCCTTCCTTGACTGGCAGCAGCTCAGTAAAGGGAGCTCCAGGGGGCAGGAGGTAGAGCCCGCGGGGCTGCTCTGGCCACAGGTTCAGGCCCACCAGCCCTGTGGGGAGCAAGCGGCCTCTTCATCTCACGGCCCCATTGCTTTCTGCTAGGCAATAGTCCCTCACCCGGACCCCAGGCTCCAATCCTGGGAGCATCTGATCCTACTGCTGCCCTTCCACTCCATCCTTGCTGGCTCCCCCAGGCTCAGCCCACTGCCTCTAAGGCCCTCATTGGGAAGAGGCAGTGGATCTGGAAGTGGCAGACCTGGCGCCGTGTGAATTTGTGCACATCTCTTAACCTCTATGAGCCTCAGTTTCTTTATCTGTAAGATGGAGCTGCTGGTGTTGGGGAGGATTGAATGAGATGATTATGTAGGGCTCACTACGTGGCAGCTAGCTCTGTGACCTCTGCCTCCTGCCCGCAGCTCACCGCCCTTCAGTCCTGCTGACCTCCAGAGGCAGCATAAGCAGGTGAGAAGAAGGCTAGCCCTTGGCACCACAAGGCCTCCAGGGCAGCCACAGCCTCCGCCTGGCCTCCTGCGTCCAGAGTCACCACCACCTGCAGCTTTGGCCAGAGCCGAAGGGCCAGTCCTCGGGGTCCCTGCTGTAGAGCCTCCCGCAGCTCTGCTGCCCGTCTCGGGAGAGGCGCTCCTGGGTTCCCGGCAGCTACGGCCTCAGCCAGCTCTTCGCCATTGGCCTCCAGGCCCAAGAAGACGTCCAGGAGTTCAACTGCTGTCCCCGCTTCCAGTGCCCGCAGCCCTGGGGACCTCAGTGCTGCCAGCAGCAGGGCCCCAGGGTCCTTGGCTCCACGGGGGCTAACATGGCCCAGGGCATGCCAAGGCCAGGGGAGGGGGCGGGGCCAGGGGGAGGTAGGGGTCACGCGAGCCGTGCCTCCTGGAGCCAGCACTTCTGGGTAGGCATTATTCAGGGCTGCCAGACCCAGCAAGGTGGCCTGGAAGAAGACAAGAGATGGGGTTGGCCCTGGGCCTGAGCCAGACCCTGAGCCCCCAGTTTGGGGGTTCTTTGCCCACCTTGATGGAAGGGTTTGGCTGCAAGTAGGGGTCTTTGGTGGGACTGGGCTCCAACCTTCTCAGTTTACCTGCAGAGAGGCCTCCCCATGGTACTGTTTTGAGGTAGGGGGCGGGAGCTGCCCCCCACTTTCTTCCTCCTGGACCTGGCTGGCCTTGGTCAGAGGGAGATGATTCCGGAAGGCGCTCAAATCTATGAGACATCATTAACTCCTCATGACGCCACAGTTTCCCAAGAGTTTCAGGCAAGACTGGTGAGACCCTTGAGGAAGGAATCCAGACTAGGCCTGGGGGAAGGGGCTCTCAGGGCCCAGGATGGGAAAATTCATCTTGAGCAATCCTGAGCCTGGGCGGGTCTCTGGGTCAGGCCCCTCTGTGTCGGCAGCAGAAAGTGGGGAGGGGAGGTCTTCAGGTTCTGGAATCTGACTGTCCTTTGGGGTTTCTTTGTCTTTGGGACACCTCCCCCAGACCCTGGGAAACACACCTGTGCTCCCCCTGAGGGGACAGCAGGGACCCTGGGCTCTCTGCAG